CGCGGCCGCGTGGCCGCTGGCGTGTCGCCGCGTGGACGCGGGTGCTGTCTAGCGCCGCGTGTGCGGCGCAGGCCCGAGACCTGAGTAAAGCCGGCGCTGGGCGAGGTGCGTGTTCACCGTCACTTAGGACAGAAAGCATTTCCTGAGCTCCCGCTGTGTGGGGACGTTGGATGCACAGACGGTCTACCGCGCACCCCGCGCCTGCAGCCCCTCGCGACCGAGTTCAGACTGACGGCCGAGCGGGAGAGTAACCACACGGAAGCCCGCGCTCGGGGCCAGGGGCGCCGCAGGCCCCGGGGTGTGGGAGCCGCGCAGAAGAAGCGGGGCAAAAGAGAAAGCGCCGGGCAAGGCCGTTTGGCCCGAGGATCTAAGAACACGGGCCGGCAGCGACGGTGAGCGTGGGACACGCGGGGGGAAAACAGGTGGCTGAAAAAATAACACAGACCAAATTAAGCACAAGTTTGCTTACCATTCTCATTCTGCATCTAATTATACCTCAATTTCTTTACTTTTTATTTTTTTATTTTTTTAAATATATCTTTATTGATTTCAGAGAGGAAAGGAGAGGGAGAAAGATAGAAACATCAATGATGAGAGGGTCATTGATTGAACCCGCAACCGGGGCATATGCCCTGACCGGGAATCGAACCCCGATCGCCTGGATCCTAGGTCGATGCTCAACCGCTGAGCCACGCCGGGCCATGCTATACCTCAATTTCTTAGTCTACAAAGTGAGTAACACTGAATAGCATTCTTACCAAAGATGGTCATACTGAGGGGAGGGGGGAGAGGGGAGAGAATGTGTCTTAAGATTTTAAGGGCTAATTTTTAAATTATCACCTATCTCAGAAAGTTTGTTGATTTGTCTCTTGGAAAATAATCTTCCAGGCAGCTAGTCATTTACTATCCCCTATCCTAGCAGAAATTCCAGGAATTGTGTATCAGTCTCTGTTTTGAGCAAGTCACCATTCAGTATTGTCTTGGTCATAAAAGGGCAACAAGGTTAAAGGAATACATAGTGTCTAACGGGGCAGAGGATTCCTAGTACACAAACACACAATTTAAAGAAGAGTCCCAAAAATACTGTTCTGGGTTGAATTGTGTCCCCAAAAAGATATGTTCAAGTCCGAAACCCCAGCACTTCAGATGGAAACTTATTCAGAAATGAGGTTATTGCAGATGTAATTAGTTAAGATGAGGTCTTATAGGAGTAGAGTGGATCTTTAGTCCAATATGACTGGTATCCTTGTAAGAAATGGAGAGACACACAGGAAGAAAACAACCATGTGACATCAAAGGCAGAGATTGGTGTGATGGTGTGATGCACCTACAAACCGAGGAACCCAGGGAGTGCCAGAAAAATCCAAAGCTAGGAGAGACGAGGAAGGATTCTCCCCTGTAGGTTTCAGAGGGAACATGGCCCTATTGACACCTTGGTTTTGGACTTCTAATTTCCAAAACTGCCAGACAATACATTTTTGTTGTTTTTGGCCACCCATTTTGTGGTACTTGGTTATAACCAGTAGCCCTAGGAAATAATAGAAATGCATCTGTAGTTGGGGTGAGAACACTGAAGCAAAGCCTCCTTTCTCTAGGAGAGAATCTACTGTCTTATTTTGGTGATAATCTGCTAGCCCACTTCCCACCTTCACCTTCACCCTCACCCTCATCTAGCCTATCCCACAGTTCAAACCCATTGTGTAGAGATAAGACGTCATACAACCCCCTGGTTGTTTGGGGCAAAGAAGCACTGATCAGTGAACATAAATATCCATCTCTCATTGTAGGCCAGTAGTAAGTCGGAATTCCAGCTTTACACGTTATTCTGTGGGCTTGCTTATGTGTGTCAGACCCATCAGGTTATTTTTGTGTCCTGCTAGTCAGGGTCCTAAGAATGTTAACGGAGGGCCAGATCTGGAACAAGGTATTGCTGTTTCTGGGGTCTGTCGGGGTTGACCCGTGGCTTTCTCCAGAAGAAAGGTGAGCCCACCACCTCCCCTTCTAAAATCCTTTCCTAATCTCAAGATCTAGACCCCCAAAGTCACCCTGTGATTGTCCACGTGGCCTACTAAATGAGCGGTGTCTGGTGAGCCTGTGGGATATGGCCGTGGCACTGGGTCCACGGTAGTCAAAAAGGATGTAAAGGAACTTTGCAGCTGTTTTATTGTCGCATGTCACCGCGGGAGGCCGTGCTCCCCTTTCCCTCTGCGCTGAGAGATTTGCCATCTCTCTCTGCAGGACATGGCACTGGAAAGATCAGTTGACTCAATTTGCACCATCTGCTCCATTGATTCTTTTTCTATCTCTGAACCTCTCCTGCATGTGGGGTGTCTCGGACTCGCTCCTGTATGTGGGCTTCCCATACACATGTACGTGTTAAATTTGGCAATTTTCTCTTGTTAACCTGTCTCATGTCTGTTTTTTAGACGAGCCAGAAGAACGATGAGGGTCGTGGAAAGTTTTTTCCTCCCCACAGAACTAAGTTTTTTCGCTTTTGTTTTCCTTTAAAGGCCAAGTTTTAAGATAAAGGTGATTTAAAAGAATTACGTGGGAGGCCTAGCAGCCGCGCCGCCTCCTGCCGCTCTGTGCTCACGCCCACCGTGTTGCCCACACTCCCAGGCTCCCCATCATGGACGCTCTGTCTGAAGCAAATGGCACTTTTGCCATAAACCTTCTGAAAAAGCTAGGTGAAGACAAATCGAAGAATGTGTTTTTCTCGCCCTTCAGCATCTCCTCTGCCCTGGCCATGGTCCTTGTGGGGGCAGAGGGGAACACCGCAGCCCAGATGGCCCAGACACTTTCTTTAAGTAAAAGCAGTGGCAGAGGTGATGTCCACCAGTGCTTCCAGTCACTTCTCGCCGAGGTTAACAGGACTGGCACACAGTACTTGCTTAGAACTGCCAACAGGCTCTTCGGAGAAAAGTCTTATGACTTCAGCTTATCTTTCAAAGATTCCTGCCACAAATTCTACCAAGCGGAGATGGAAGAGCTGGACTTCTTCAAAGCTGCAGAGGAGGCCAGGAAACACATCAACACCTGGGTGGTGAACAAGACCGAAGGTAAAATTACAGAGGTGCTGTCTCCAGGTTCCATTAATCCAGGTACTCCTCTGGTTCTCGTGAACGCCATCTACTTCAAAGGAACCTGGGAAAGTCAGTTTAACAAGGAGCACACCCAGGAGAGACCGTTTAAAGTCAGCAAGAATGAGCAGAAACCTGTGCAAATGATGTTTAAGAAATCTACCTTTAACATGACCTACATCAGAGAAATATTCACCAAGATTCTGGTGCTGCCCTACGTCGGCAGAGAGCTGAACATGATCATCATGCTTCCCAATGAGAACGTCGACCTGGAAACGGTGGAAAGGCAGCTCACCTATGAGAAATTTGCAGAGTGGACCAGGCCCGACATGATGGACGAAGGGGAGGTGGAAGTGCTCCTCCCACGGTTCCAGCTGGAGGAGAAGTATGACATGAAGGACGTCCTCTGCTCGCTGGGCATGACTGATGCCTTTGAGCAGAACAGGGCAGACTTCTCTGGGATGTCGTCGGGGAGAAACCTATTTCTGTCCAAGGTCGTGCACAAGTCCTTTGTGGAGGTCAACGAGGAAGGCACGGAGGCCTCAGCGGCCACGGTGGCCATCATGATGCTTCGCTGCGCCCTAAGGACGCCCAGGTTCTGTGCCGACCGCCCCTTCCTCTTCTTCATCCAGCACAGCAAGACCAGCAGCATCCTGTTCTGTGGCCGCTTCTCCTCCCCTTAGGAAGTCGCTGCCAGGCAAGGCCCTCTCCTGCCTCCTCTGACCCACTCTCCTCTGACACCTCAATGTGCCTGAGCTCAAAGGGACCTTTGGTCACCATCAAAAATAAAGGGCCTGATTTTGAAAAAAAATAAAAAATTAATAAAAGAATTACGAGAACTAACCATTATTGTTTTCTGGCGCTGCCTGGAAAGGAAGGTCCAATTAAGTAACCAAGTGAGCACTGGAAGGGGCCTGCAGTAGTGAGTACGCAGCCCAAGGGGAAGGCAGTGCCAATGAGGCTCAGCCAGTTTTGGTCTTCACCAGTGGTCACTCAGGTGATTTCAAAATAATACAATTAAATGCTGGCCATAAACACCATTTTATTGTTCATACTGAGTATTCAACAAATCTCTTTTTTCCCTCTCCAACTACTACACATTTATAGAGAGACTTTTTCTCTGTTCTGGTAGCTAGCCTTGTAAAAACACATTGTGTGTCTATCTGTACATCTGCCACTTTGACCTCTTGGAAGGCCCCAGCCATGTACACGAACTTGCAGGTGTGGCTTGGAGGATCCTCAAGCATTTCTTCTGCTCATCTGTTTTCCACCCGGGAAGTCTGCACTGCTGAGGAGATAACGTGGAAATGACAGTAAGGCCCTGGGGATCCTTGGCGAGGGCTTCTCACCAACAAATCACAACCACCTCGAGTCCCACCTTAAGAAAGATGATGGTCTGTCCGTTGCTTAAGTATTGAGTTATTAATGAACCCCAAGTGGTAGAAACCCTGTCCCCTCTGCTGCTTCCACCTGAAATAGGAAAGCGCCTCAGGCAGGACAGTTGCTCACTGCGCAGGCTGAGGGGGATGAGAGAAAGCTCAGGGACATGGCTGGGCACACTCGGTGCCTTCTTGTCAAATAATTCATGGAAACGGTGAATTTGTCAGCTTGGCAACAATTAGTGACTTCTGAAAATACAAGTTTCTGACTTGGTATCATTTAGATTTGTTTCACTTCAAGGCTTCAGCGAGCTCATGTCCAGCTTATTTCATGAACATACAGGAATCAGAGACACAGCAGGAAAGAACACCAAGCCGCATGCACTCATCTAAGACCAAGTTACTGCAGGCATTTCTGTGACCAACTAGGTGATGCAGGCATTGGCCTGGCAGTTCATGTCCAGTGAGAGCTGCTCTGATTCTCTTACACTTTGGATGACTAATGACCCTTTCCTTGATCTCTTAATCCAGTGGTTTGCAACTGAGGGTTACTAGAATCCTCCATGGAGCTTTAAAAAATAAAATGTCCAGGTCTTAACACAGACCTTCACAACCTGAAATTCAGGGTAGGGCTGAGTATGCACATATTTTTAAAATACCTACTGAGGGTTCTGGAGTGATCTCCCAGGTAAAAATTCCTTCCCAATCCGCTTCTTCTAGTCCATTCATCACTTGTCTCCAATAGGGTCCACCTTAATTCCTCATCCCAAATTCACCCCCTACCCAACAAGCCAGTTTCTAATTCTTTAAGAAAGGCAAATACCCAAATGAGAGTTTTTAATTATGTTGGAAATTTTAAGTGAAGAAGTTTGTGGTTAACCAAAGAAACAGGTTATTTGAAAAAATAAGCATGGATTCTTTTTCTTTTACAAATTAAGTTTAATTGATAATTCAGCTCCAGAAATAAAAATAACTTCTAAAATGAGAGTATAAACATGTTTATTAAGTGTTTTTCAGAGATTTATCTCCTTTCTTCATTTAATAGCAGATAGTACTGATCTATTCTCTTGCCTGAATATTGTAAAGAAATTAAAATTTTAGGTAGATGAGCTACCTGTATCCATCCTAAAGTACCTCAAGTCCCCCTAGTAGCCTCAAAGGCAAAATGACTTCCCAGTTTTTCCTTAATGTTTGTGGCTGGAATATAGCACCTGCTTGAAATAAAACAAGGAGTCAGATTTCCTCTAAATATCACCCAAAGTTTTGGGCATTACACACAAGGACTCGGGTATTTCAGGAATTTGCTAACTATCAACTACTTAATGAAGCAAATTAAATGAAATTTATAAAGGTTGAAGGTTATAAATGGGCCAATGTAGTAAAAGTATGAAGTTACCAAATGGTAATGAATGGAAAATACTACATTTCTGGCTGTTGGTGGAGATCCACAAAAATCTGAGAAAACTGGGTGACAGGCACATTACTGCTTTTCTAGTAACACATGACTTGCCGTTTGCAACTGTTTTGGTTTGTTTATAATCCATTTTCTGATCATTAAGGACTCAGATGTAAACAGAATTCCTGCTTTATTCTCTACAAGCTGTCAACAAGATGGAAAAACAGAGGGGGGAGTCATAGCATATGGCAGCTCAAGCATTAGAACAAATGAACATTCAAGAGATCAGATGATGCTGGGAGCCTGTGTGGTGTCCTCTGTAATGGGGCTCCAGGTGGACAGAGCCAGACCCAGAGCTCATAGGATGGGCATCCAGTCACAGCAGTGACCACACGCGGAGTGCTGGCAAAGCATCTAGTCATTCCTACTATACAAAATGAATTCCCCCCAAATAGATAAAGGTTCTGCAATGCAAGAACTTACCTCTACTGCTGCTAAGAATGAGCCCTTCCCTACTAGCTCCTCCTGACCAGGTCAGAACACCAAAGGCGTAAGGGAGAAGTTGGGCCTGGTGAGCTATAAGGGTGCCAGTTTCTGACCTGTCTCCTGTTAGGAACTATCACTACACAAACCTATTTATTTAAAAACAGCACTCACCTACAGTCATCTTTTGGGGACCTGTACTAACGAGCTCTAGGAAAAGTACAGAAACCTGGAATCAAGACATAATCCTAAAACACTCGTTTTACCTCGTGGCTGCATCTTCCTCTCTGGCAATGAGACTGACTTGTGTTTCCTGAGGTCTCTACTTGGGAGGGTAAGTAAGGCATTGAAACCCACTCACTGGACTGCATAGTCCTAAACAATGAAGAGCTGACTATAATCTTTATTTTAAAATGTTTAAGTACTACAGATATTTCGGGTAGTCTGATTCTAGTCCCTGGAAGTTCCATCTCACAATATTAAATTCAACTAAAGGTACGATAGTACCATTTATACTTAAATATTGCTAATCTTTGGATAAGAAAGTAAAATATTAATATCCCAAATATATTTCCCCAGTGATAATCACATAAGCCTATTAGATACAAGAATATTTTTAAAGATATCAAACATTTACCTTTTTTCCCTGGTCTTAAATCCTGGGTATTTGGGAGTTCCCCATTTTGTACTTTTCTTCTGTCCCTAGATCCTCCTAATTTCATACTACTCAAGTAATTTGCTTTGTTTTATCAAAGAAACAAACAAAAAACCCTGATATTTCATTGCATTTAGCTAACAGTTCAGAAATAAAGAAACCTACCTATGAAGCACACTATGCCATAAATCTTAGAAACTGAATTTCAGCCATCACATTGCTGGCCATTACTGAACTGCATAAGCTTTCCCTGTCCCTTCACTTAACCAGGCCTATCAGTCTTTCACTGCACGGTGGCTGGTGGCTCAGGCCCCTGGCCTCACAGGTCGCTCTCCCCGTAGAGCGCGGAGGAGAAGGCAGCGTAGTCCAGGGCCCCCGGCACGGCGCCCGGGCCCTTGTAGGCTGGCATGCGCCCCAGGCAGTACTGCGCCTGGTCCGGGGGCAGCTCGCGCCGCAGCTCCTCGGCTAGGATGTACGGCTGCAAGAGAGGGGTTGCAAGTCAGTCTCCAAAAAGCCTGTGGCAGTGTGTTCACACTGACACATGCTGGCGCTGGTTCAGTTGAAAAAGGATTAGAGGCAGGCTGTCAGGTGGGCCTGGTACCTGACACCTGCAGGCCAGGTTTGCGCCTGAGGCCACACCTGCAGGATCTCCCCCAGGTTGCACTGCCACCGAGAGTTCTCAAACTGAGGCAGTGGGAGTGACAAATATTGTGACCTTAAGTTTACAACCCAGAGGGATAGTTGGTCCACTCCATATGCTGACACAACACAGAAAAGTTTAGCATAATCAATGTTGTGGTTTTTTTAACATATGTGATTTGTGCTTTAGAAAATGGAGTCATTTTCCTACTCAGCTTATTAAAAAGCTAGAAACATGTTGCCACTAGAGAAAACCTATAATATGAAATAAAACTGACATTTAAAAATGGAGTCTTTTTTTTTTAAGGTCACATGTCCAACAGGAAATAGGATAATTCTGGTAAAACAGCCTGGCTGATAAGAGTAAAAATAAATGAACCACAAATACCACACTGATTTATAATAGGGTTTTGGGGGCTTGGATCTTGCCATAGTTTACGACCTCAACCCCTCCCCATGAAAAAAATTCATTTAAAATAAACATTACAGTTTTCATGATAGCTTATCTTACCTGACATTTTAAGGTAACAACACTACCCTGCTGATGTGTTTTATTACCCTATTTGCCTTTTCTTCTCTGCTAGAACACAGGGTAAAAAAATCATATCCCAAACTGAATTTATACGTACTGAGATATTTTTTGTTTGGGGGATGAGACTTAAAAATTCTGAACTTGCAATTAAACTCCTACTTAGTTTCTAGACTGCATGTAATGAAAATCTTGCCAATTTTTTTCACCATTGGACAGCTATATTTAACTTTGTTCCAGTGTGTGGGCACAAAGTTAGGGTCATTAATCCTTAAGAGGTCCCAGTCCCATAACATCTGAATTGTGTGGTTACTTCTGAGTCTTCTCTACCAACTCAGAATGTAAAATGGGGCTGAACCTGTAAAACACAAAAAAACTACAAAATACACACTCTTGGTTCCTTCCATAAAACTCACTGTGAGCCCAAGCACAAATTTCAGGAGCAAGATGTCTATGTTTTTTCTGTTTACCTGCTGCTTTCTGAATTCAGTGCTGATGCAGTGCAGCATGCACTAATATCACCTGGTTTTTACTTGCAATGCTGCTTCTGTTATAAGAATAATGCAGTGGACTGTCACAAAAGCGGAAGAAAATCTGTCATGCAGACCTTATCAGAGGCCAGGATCCGGAAGGAGGCGATGACCTGCTCAGCGGTGTCGGTATCAGCTGTCTCTCTGGTCATAAAGTCGATGAAGGACTGGAAGGTGACAGTGCCCTGTCCGTTGGGATCCACCAGAGTCATGATGCGGGCAAATTCGGCTTCACCCTGAGTGAGGTTACAAAAAAACGTGTACTTCAAGAGCACACAACTATGGACAGAGCCACTCCTGCTCTCACCTACTGCATGTTTCTTTTGGTATGAAAACTTAAGTATTCCCTCGTTCCCTTTCAGTCTTTGGAACAAATTCCAGTAGGGTGACCTAGGTTACTCCATCCAATGACTGTAATAGTTGCTGTGGCTTTAAGCTTGAAGCTCCTGGATGTCAGAATTCCTTCCACCCTGGGACCCATGTTCCTTTGGTCCTGAACATAGGAAGAGGAATTCAGGGAGAAGGTTAGGCCTTTTCCACATGACAACTGAGACGAGTAACATGCCATTCAGAAGGCTCCCATGACTGTTACTTTCAAAGTCTGAGAGGAATCAAGGCAGCTCTTGTTGAAAATACATATTAGTGGGTAACAGAGAAGTGAGGTGAGCGGCACTATCACAGCCCACAGGAAAATGTAAGACTTTCTTAGTTGATTTATTACTAAAACCTTTTTACCTTCTAAAATATTAGAGGAAAAAGCTCTTAAAAATCCTCAGGATACTAAAAGCCACTGAAGCATACACTTTAAATGGGTGAATTGTATAGTATATGAATTATATCTCAATAAAGCTATTAAAAATCATCAGGAAAGCTTAATATCTAGCCAGTTACTGAGTAAAAATATATGTTCTGGTTCTGTGAAACTACTTTTATATAGTAATAGGCAACCTTCAAAACTATTATCCTATTTAATGGAAATGGACTAATCCCAAATGTGCTAGTGTCCCCTAAGGCAGCACCGCCTGCGAAATATATCCAAGTTCAGTAAAACATCAAGTCTTAGTGAAATTCCCACTTCTGACTTACCAAATCGTAGCCCATGGAAATCAAGCAGGCTCTGAAATCCTCATGGTCCATCAGGCCATTCTTCCTCTGCCAACAAATACAAATAGAGAAGCTGAGAATTAGAGACCAATGAGCAACTCTACGTGACCTAGGGAACAGAATCCAGTAAGAGGAGGTACACCTGGAGTTTTGCCAAAGGAGACAGTAAAGGTCACCAGTGACTTATAGGAAGGCTGGAGTCAAGATGAGGATGTTACAAAACAGTTTCTTAAAGAAAGAGAAGAAAGGTCGACAATAGACCAAAAAGAAAGGAGACCACACATTGAAATGACCCAGTCACGAGCTGACCACTGCCACCCACTAATGGTAAAGCATACCCCACAGCCACCCTCAAGCCCTGGGCCAGGATGGAGGGGCCCCTCCGTGTGGCAAGCTTGGCCTCAGCACCAATCCTGTGAGGGTCTACACAGAGCAGCTGGTAGACAGACCGGGTGCATGACAGCCCTCACAGCGGGCCCAGACTCTGCTGAAACAGGTGCCACCCAAGCCCTGGATATGATGCGGAGTGTGCGCTGGTCTCAAGGGTCCCTTGAGGGTTTTAAGAGGACAGCTAAGTGCAGGCATCAATATAAAACTAAAGATAAGCAGACACTTTTATTATTGGCCAAACAAATGTCAGAGGTTCTCTTTTTCTGTGAATGTCTGTTCTCAGGCCTACGTGATCAGACCTCAGCCACCCCTCCCTCTCCAAAGCGATGCTTCCCACTGTGGACACTCCACTCGTCACTCTCTACTGACTCCCTCAGGGTTCCTTCTTCAGCTCTCCTGCCTCTTTTCAATGGGGTTAATTCCCCTAAGTCCTTGGCCCTCTCTCTTCTTACTGTCCACACCCTCTTTTGCCAGAGATGACCATTAGGTTTCAGACCTGAAGTCCAGAATGGGATGCCTAGGGCACCTCCAATTAAATAGCACCCCTTCTCTTGTGATCACAAGGTTCTGAATTTCCAGGCCATTCTTTCCTTTTCCTGTCGCTAAGTTCTGTCAGATTTCTGTCTTAGCTGAGCTCAGTCTGTTCTTTTTTTCATTCCCAGCACTCCTATCCCTCAGCCCAGAAGTTCAGGTTCCTCTTCCCTCATACCTGACCCTCTGCTCACTTTCTCTCCCCTCTTCCATCCCTCCAGCCCCTCTCCCACACAGGTGCCAGACACACTGAAGCCAGCTCTCATTACACCTACATTCTACACCTCCATGAAGAAACCTACAGGCTACCTGCTCTGGGCCTTGGCAATTCCTGTCTTTCCTTTTTAATGAGAAGAGGAAGTGAAGTGGATGTGTCCTTTACACCTCTCCCCACAACTTCAGCAAACTTTGTTTCCCTCCAACACACATAATCCTTAACATTTAATTCGAACAAATGTTCAAACTTGGCAGGTTCTGCATCGGCCTACTTTGGATTTTTGTTGCAAAGGACAGTCTCATTACTGTGGATTCAGTAAAGGTGCATTTTTTCCTGTGACATGGGCCACATACACAAGACCTACCCAACAAGCCCAGATGGGTGTGTGCAGGAGCAAGGGTCAGTTATTTCCCTACAGGAACACATGAACATCAGTGATGAGATCAGGGCAGTGCTACAGTATGTTTCTGCGCAAGAAGCTGAAACCATGCCAATGTCCACCTCAACCTTGGCTTGCAATTATTTAGGCCTCGGCTCCCAGATCAGAAGTCATTGTCTGAGCTCTTTAATGGGCCTGCATCTGGCTTGCCTAGTCCACAGGCATCTTAAGAACAACCTACTGGGCCTGATTTGCTTCTGGACCCAGGGCTTGGGAAAGCAGAGCTTGGTGCACATCTTGGATCCAGCAAAGGAAACCAGTCACAAACAGTGTCTGACACTGGCCTGCACCAGAGACCATCCAAAAGACTGGGAGTTCTAGCAGGTATACCTAATACATTAGAAACAAATCCAAACAGTCAGCCAAAATGGGGAGACAAAACAACAAGCCCCAAATGAAAGAACAAGAGAATTCTCCAGAAGAAGAGCTAAGTGAAATGGAGATAAGCAATCTCTCAGATATGGAGTTCAGAATACTGATCATAAAGATGCTCAACAGCATGCAAAAAGATAGAGAAACTATGAAGGAAATTAAGAATGACATAGTAGAAATTTTAAAAAAACAACATTGGAAGGAATGAACAGCAGATTAGAGGAAGGTGAGGATCTGATCAGCAAATTAGAGGACAGGGTAGAAAAAATCATGCAATCAGAAAAGAAAAAAGAAAAAACAATTAAAAAACAGGAAGACAGTTTAAAGGAGCTGTGAGACAACATGAAATGTAACAATATTCACATCATAGGAGTACCAGAAGATGTAGAAAGTAAGCAAGGGTTAGAGAACCTGTTTGAAGAAATAATGGCAGAAAAGTTCCCTAACCTGGTCAAGGAAAAGGTCACACAAGTTCAGGAGGCACAGAGAGTCCCAAGCAAGAAGAATCCAAAGAAGCCCACATCCAGACACATCATAATTAAAATGCCAAAAATTAAAAACAAAGAGAGAATATTAAAGGCAGCAAGAGAAAAACAATGTTACCTACAAAGGAGCTCCCATAAGGCTGTCAGCTGACTTCTCATCAGAAGCTCTACAGGCCAGACGGGAATGGCATGAAGTATTCAAGGTAATGAAAAACAAGTATCTGAAACCAAGACTACTCTATCCAGCATGGCTATCATTCAAAATAGATGGTGAAATAAAGAGGTTTCCAGACCAAAAAAAAGCTAAAGGAATTTATCACCACCAAACCAGTCTGCATTGCAAGAAATGTTAAAGGGACTGCTGTAATAAGTTGAAATAGAGAGAAAGAGAAACATAGGCATAAAGAAATAAAACAGCAATAAATAAGTACCTATCAGTAATAACCTTAAATATAAATGGATTAAATGTCCCAATCAAAAGACACAGGGTAGCTGAATGGATAAGAAAACATGACCCAAATATATGCTGTCTACAAGAGACCCCCCTTAGAACAAAAGACACACACAGGCTGGGGGGAAAAAACAAAAAAACTTCTGGAGGACTTTAAAGGAGAGACTGAAAACAATACAGTCATAGGAGGGGACTTTAATACCCCACTGATTTTATTGGATAGATCTTCCACACACAAAAAATAAACAAGGAAACAGTGACTCTAAATGACACACTAGATCAGATGGATTTAATTGACATTTACAGAACATCCCACGCCACAGCTGCAGAATATGCATTCTCCTCAAGTGCACATGGACATTCTCAAAAACAGACCACATGTTAGGACACAAAACAAGTCTCTACAAGTTCAAGGAGATTGAAATCATATCAAGCATCTTCTGGAACATCAACACCATGGAATACTATGCAGCTCTAAAAAAAAAGGATCCCTTACCCTTTGGGACAGCATGGATGGACCTGGAGAGTATTATGTTAAGCAAAGTAAGCCAGTCAGAGAAAGACAAGTGTCACATGATCTTACTCATATGTGCAATCTAATGAACAAAATAAATCGATGAACAAAACAGATCCAGAGACATAGAAGCATGGAATAGACTGATGAATCTCAGAGGGAAGGCAGGGATGGGTGGGGAGAGATTAACATAA